AAACATTTATGGACTAAAATAACCAATTAATGAAAATTAACTAAACAGATCTATAACGAAGAAAATGAAAAACGACAAAAAAAACCCTGTCAAAGAAACTAAACCATGAAATACCAAATATTTAATTTTCAATTAGCCCTTTCACTGCCATGAGTGACCAAGACAGAATTTCTCCTTACATTACAATACATATCAATACGATATCATATCAAGCGGACAAGTGATGGGATTATTAGTTGATCCAATAACAAATTCTGCAGAGTAACATCATAAGACTTGTATGGCTGACAGTAAGGAGAATTGCAAATAACATCTTGGGAGTGAAAGAGTTAATTAAGATATATCTTTCATTGTCATAGCATGAAGTGAGAGGCAGGAAAAACATCAAAACAAGTAGATCTGTAAATATATGAAATTTAACTGGTAAAATAACGAGAAGTCAAGACCTCCTATAAGAGTAATTTGGAAGGCATAATCATTACCCAAGGAAATTGCATGTTTAATTTTTTTTCCCGAATCTCAGGAGTTTCAATAAAAGCCAGTTACCCGCGGTCTACCGCCGCCTGGAAGGTCTCTCACTGCCGTCTATGACGTGAGCCAATGTGCAGGCTCACGTGTTTGGTTTTCGCCTTGCAGCACAGCTGCCTATTACATGATCGGCCGCCGCTTGTATGAAAAAGTTATCGAAACCGCTGAGTCTACAGGTAACATAGTTGGAGCTAATGAGAATATCAAAAATAGCTTTTACTGAAGGAGGAGGGCAAAATATTGCTTTCTGGACCATGATGGAAAACAGAGTACAAATCATGTGATTGAAATTATATTCTTACCGCCTTTGGATCGATATCATCAAGATGATTTTGTATGAATTGCACAGAGGCCGTCAAGTCAGCAGAGTTGAACTCATACGGGATATTCCATCCTAGTGGACCAAATTTGCGTCGCTCTTGAACAATGGTGTGCAGGAAGGCTGTGGCATATAGCATGGGTTTCCACTGTGGCATGTTAGTCACATCAAGTTGATCCTACGGCAAAGTAAAGTTAGCAGATTTAGTAATGAAAACCTTATATACAATGAATATATGAAGTTCATATATTTTGAACTGCGGTATTAAATACGTATGATGCACGATCCTTCGCAGTACATAGTGAAGGATCGTGCATCATAAGTGAAAACCTTATAATAAGTCTCGTTTCAAAAAGTGCATCTGAGAATTTGATAGAGGTTTCTAACGAGGAAAAATAGATGAACAAAGGTGATTATTAGAATAAAAGTCACGCTTCGTCGACATCCAAGTGAAACAATCGACTGCTTGTAACCTAAAGGTTCATAAAAGCCATCTGACAAGCCACTTAGCTAGAATTGCATTGGCTCTTTCAATGTAGCAGTGCTCCACTTGAAATGTGTACACTTTCATCAATTTATCTAGATGTTTTTTCCAAACCATTCAATTTTTTCTAAAACTTTGTAGATTTAAAATCCAAAATAATGATTTTTCTTCGTATCATTTTATTTTTCAGTGCCCTTAAATTTCTTAATCGCTCTCCTATCGAGGACAACTCTCCTTTGGAGAAAAGTAACAACAAAAATAAATGTTTCAGTAATTTTAAGACATTGAATTTATATCCTGCTGCTAAATAATTTGACAATTTCTTGTAGAGGCTAAAGATTTGTCATGTAAGTTGGCAACCCGTTCAATTCCCGGTCAAACCTGAGTGATTCCAGCGTATGTTCTCTTCAAACCCGCCTTGATGCCTTGAGGTGGTTCATTGGTAAACTTGATAGAGGACTGCAGAAGAGTTATCGGGAATTTCGGATGAACTTCTGTCGTGATCCACAAACGGAACTTTTCGTTGACATTCTCTGTTGTAGTAATCTTAAAGCAAATCATCAAAATTTAATCCAAATGTAACAACATCTGATTTATTTCATTTCACTGTGATCATTTAATATCTAAACAAGATTTGGTCAATACCACCTATACAAGGAGACAACGGACAAGAAAAAACTTTTATCAAGACCTTAAAAAGAACTAAGTGACAGAAACACACAAATAAAAACGAGTTCATACATACCGTCTCTAACAACTCATCCATGAAGTTGAGTCCCAAATGACAATTCTGAAGTACTACCCAGCCTCCCTCGTTCATAAACTGTGCCAATAGACGCCGCGCATGCACCTCTTGTCCCTGTCCCATAGAGATGGCCCGGCAGTCTGTGCGAGAAATAACCAAATTTTGTCGTTTGATCATCTTTGCTTGACTAACGCTTCACTTAAGCCTAAGAATTACAAAGCAATATCTTCTACAGAACAAATAACGAAGATTTTGTTTTTCATTTGTTTCGGATGCTATCTTGAATTCAGAGATAATAGTGCTGTACTCTTTTTCAAACTAAATTTTTCGATTTGGAATTTTCAAGAAGATTGTCTTTAAATACAGCTCTGCAATCGAATTCACCAGAGAAAAAACAATACAACACGTTTAGAGAAACATTGCCTTAAGATCTACATGTAAGCTTGGAGTGAATCTTTCCACTAGTGATCATTCACAATCTTCACAATGGATCATTTGGTGAGGGGGAACATTAACTTTCTTACCTAATCTCTGCTTCTTGGCCAAAGCCTCGATGGACGCCGTAGGATCAGAACCCATCGACAAGAAGCAAATCATGGGTGTCCTTACGTCACTTTCCTCCCACATGACTTCCAGGTTCAAAATAACTCCTTCAGCGTACTGTGGGAACAAGACAAGCAAGTTTAACTCTGACCACACCCTACTCCCATCATAATAATAATAATAATAATAATAATAATAATAATAATAATAATAATAATAATATTTATATAGCGCCTATCCAATGATAGATCTAGGCGCTTAACAAAGTGAGAGGAAATATAAAATTAAATTAATCAAAGTAAATAAACTTAAAATTGAAGTAAAAACATATAAAGTCTATTTCCCTAATGGCTAACATAAAAGTTGTGAAAAAGGTAGGTTTTAAGTTTATGCTCAAAAAGACTTTAAGTTCTCGCATGAGCGTATGTTGTCGGGAAATTTGTTCCAGAGTTCAGCGGCTGAAACGGAGAATGCTCTAGAACCATGGGTCTTAAGGTTAAAACTAACAGGACTCAGATTGAGCGTAGAGGATGAACGAAGCGATCTAGAAGGTGAGTAGCGAGTGATGAGGTCTTGAATAAAGATAGGAGCTTGCCGATGCAGTGTTTTGAAAGTAAGTAGAAGAATCTTGAATTTAATTCGTTCAGAGACAGGTAGCCAGTGAAGATCGAAGAGGATGGGAGTGATGTGATCACATTTCCTAGACCGTGTAATCAGTCTGGCGGCTGCATTCTGCACTGATTGAAGCTTTTTGATGATGTATTTAATAACATTATATAGCAGAGAATTGCAGTGATCGAGCTTGGAAGTTAAGAATCTTGAAATTTTGGCCAATGCCTAATATAAAAAACCAGGCAATATGCTCAAAGGGTATTGTGGCTATGTCTTGTATGAGCACATGGATGAAACCCTTCTGTGGAACTGTTTTTTCTTACCCGCGAATTCGTTTGGTATTGTTCACAATGTCCCACCTGTTTTTAAACTCTGTATTATAGACCAGATGTGTAACCATTTACATAAATGTCTGAGCAACCTGTTTGTTTGGAACTTAGAAAAAAAGTTCGACCTTTCTAATATGACGATCATTTCCCCCGAGTGAGAAAAATAATATGATTACTACATAGCAAAGTACGCTTTCGACAGAATTCACCTCTTTTCCAATGGCATCAGTGATATAACGCCGAGCCTGGTTTATGGTACGATCTGGGCACCAGGCTCTTATAAGCAAAAGTTTCCTAAAAGTGTCAAGAGAGCCCTGGTAGCCATCAGGTATTGGCGCATCTTCTGGTGCTTCAGAGTCAAACCAGGTCTTCCAGGCTTTACCAGACTCGTTATTTGTCACCTGTGGAGATAAGTTCACATGTTTGATCCAGTCGTGAGTTCATCATGGCCAGAGAAAAGAGAAAAGAGAAAAAAAAAATTAGAAGCGCATTTTTCAACGGCTAGCCCCCATCTTCATTATCTACGAGAAGGCACATTATCTACGACTCTGACTATACTTTTATTTCAGGCTTTCAATTTGCCAACCCGTTTCAGGATATCTCACAAAATTTGTAATTTTTTCACAATTTCAACCACAACCCGACACCAACCATAACAACAACTATAACAACTAATGTAGGTATTGACCTGTCCCAGGAGTTGAGTGAATTGAGGAAGTCTACTGAGGGCCACAAGATTCAACCAAGTCATGTCCAAGATCCACTTCTTTGGTTTGGGTTCCACGGCGTTCAAATCCAGTGCAGCACCACCTGCCCCACGAGAGAAACGAGTATTTAGATTGACAAACTGGCAAAGTGGAGCATAGAACACATTGAATTACAAGGATTAAACACCAATGAACTCTAGAAATTTATGTTTAACTCAACACTCATTCCCTTTGTCTGTCCCGTTACATCTCTATCAATTACAATTTTGCGTTTGAATGATGAAAAATAACGCCGTTGAATACCAAAAGAGAACAACCAACGATTCTGAGAACACCTTCGTAACGTAGAAACGAATGACAAGGACGAATCCAAACCAGTCGTTAGACACTGTAATCTCCTAAGTTATTCTCCGCGGCGAATAGCAGTCTGCGGTCTTTCTCTAGATCTAGGCAGTTCGGAAAGCCGCAAACCGAACTCTAGACCAAACTATTGATCTTCAAATCGTCACTCTTAATCCCCACAGTATCAACGAACGCTTTTCATTCAACTAATGTATTCTTGTCTTTCTCCTTAACATGTTCCTACCAATAGCATAGCTCCAATTTCTGCATATAAACTACACACAAACCACAGTTCCTCTATTCAAATTCATCCCCTCCGGCAGTTAATAAAACCAAATTATAAACGAATGCATAAAACGTCAAAAAAGCGCCAGCCAGCGAAAATACAAAAACAAAAAAACAAAACAAAACAAAAAGAAAGAGAAAAGAAAACGGACGAACACTAATCAAACAAAGAGTACCATCACTTCATCGTTATACCTTTAATAAGAACTTGAAACTCGTCGTGGCGAATCTTTCTCTCTTGCAAATCAATTTTCAGCGTGAGCAATAGAGTGAAGAGGAACTTATGCTCTTCGTACAAACCACGTGTCGTGTAACGGAACACTTCAAATGTCAAGTACTCAATTATGTTCTGGATCCGCTTGGCAGGAATCGGAGACTTCTGGGAACGTGCCATAGAAATGTCAAACAAGCCTAGGAACTGTCTGAGAGAGGTCTGGTACATAACGTTCACGTAAGACATCTCGACTATCAAGAAGTAAAGGATGCTTCCTCGTGTTGCCACTGGGAGGAGAGGGAGAGAAAATAGTTGTTAGTGATCTTTTATCAAGGAAAGAGAAAGTGGAGTAAGAAATACTTATTCCTTTTTATTCTTTTTAGGGACATGATAGAACCATCCTGAGACATACAACGCTACTTATA